GCCTCCCACCGATCTAGGCCGCTGCTCTCTACTGTGCATGCATCAGCGCGAACATGTACGCAATCGCGTCTTTTGATTCCAACCAATAAGCGCCGACGCAACGACGTCACACACCCGACGTCACACACAACAACAGCTAAGATAAGCTAGCCGAGACGACACTCTAAGTCGGACGGACACGTTTTTCTGGCAATCTGTGTGTTTCCCTTTTTGTCCAACTATATTTTTTACGACAACTGTCTTGTCCACGGTGTCTTTTGTGTCTTTCGTTCCACTGGGGTTTAGCAAGTGTGTTTATAAAGAGACGAAAATCTCTTTACTGTTACTAGTGTTAGTGCCTCAATATGGCTACGCTCGTGAAAGCAAAACAACAAACTCAAACGCGTCTTCGTTCAATGTTGTCAACTAATATCCGGATTAATTTGAGGCAATTTTTCCTCAATTCTCCGGAGAGATTTTCATAAAAATTTGAAAAACCCGGAATTCCGGGAAAATCCGGAGGACTTTCATCTCTGTTTTATTCTACAAGGGGAAACAGAAATGTTGCGTAAGATTAAATCAGTCACTGCCAGCCCAGTAAAAACAGATCTTTGATGTCTATGGCTGCAATGACGAAAATGCGAATGCGTTAAGGTAAGGTCATATTTTTAGTCAGAAAAACTGATTGTGGAAATGTTACGATCACGGAAGATGGAAAAGGCTGATCCATGCTGGAAGAAGAGGTGATTTTAAACCAAACAAGATGCTATCAGACACACACACACACACACACACACACACACACACACACACACACACGCACACTCAAAGTACCTGTCGGGAGCCACAAGAAAATGTGTGCTCTCGGTCACCAGTCGATGTGCCTCGGAGGAGCCGAGGCCCGCGGGAACCTGTTCATGGTATCGTATGTTGGGATGCTGGCACAGGAACAACATTATTAGAAGCCATAGACGGGGGGAGAAAAAGAAAGAAAAAGGACCCCCCCCACCAAAAAAGAAAAAAAACAACACCTATTGGGATTAAAACAAGAAGCTCATTAGACGAGAGAGTAAAACATGAAAGTGTCACCCAAAAGGGCACCGCCACTGAAAAATTAAAATCAACACATATTTGATTTAGAATAAAATCCAAATCAAATGTGTTGATTGGAATGTTTTTAAATGTCAGTCTTCAGAGTTTCTCTTTTTTTCAGTGCCAGTGCTTTGTTTGTTTTTCTGCTTCCTGGCTTCCACCTTCCATTTTATTTTGTTTTCACTTTGAAACTAACAAACAGAATTTTTTTGTTTTAATTCATGCTACAGTATTTTATCGCTGAAAAAAATGTTTGTGATAATATACACAAAACGTTGAGTTAGAAAGCCTTTTATTTCCTCCAGTTTATAATTTCATACTCATTTTCATACCCTGGTTTTTTATGATGAATTGTGCTAAGACTAATGATAATATTTTTGTTACATGTTTTTCTCTCTGCTTAACATTATGGGCTAATAGTCAATCGTTAAGAACAAAAAAAAAAACAAAACAAAACAAAAAAAAACAACCGAAAAAAAAAGAATCTAATTTTATGTGACATTAAAGCGGAAAGGAAAAGAAGCACAATCCCAAGTGTTTTTGCCATGCTTGCCTCTCTGGGAACAAAAGGATCAGGTGCACATTCATCGGACTTTGGCTGATTCTAAATGAGAGGAGACAATGATTTTGTGGCACACGTCATACGTGGCGCGCAGGATGTTAGTCCTGTAACGCCGCCACCTCGCAAAACATTCAGCAGCAACCAAATTGAAGGATGGATTCACAAACAATTCCTTAGGAGCGCTTTTTTTTATGCTTTCCCTGCATTGGCATTTAGCAAAGCTGTAAGCTACATGTATTGGGAATTAGGAATTTCTCTTATGGAACATTCAGTATTGTCCCAAAGAAGTGCCCAGTTCCTTCCCATCCATAAGTCAGTAAACAAACACAGTGCAGCTCAGCCTCTGTCAAGCGATATGTTTGTGGCTCAACTCTTCGTCAAACTTGTGTCAGGAATTATCGAGAGGGGTGGAATGAAATTACATAATCTTCAACCTGAACTAAATCAGATAAGTGCAGGTCCTGGATCGTCCGCTGAGCCATTTGAATGCCTCAAAAAAAAAAAAATAAAATAAAATAAAAAATCTAATCAAAATCACGTCCTGGATAAAGCTATGTGGTTGTCTAAATGGTCGGTGGAATTGAAAAAAACGAACAAGCAAAAAAGTGAAAAACGGACCCAGAGAAATGCTATGTGGTCATCCACATAGCCTTAGAACCCTTCATAAATCCCAGACAACCCACACAAATGCATCCTCTTAAGAAGCAATGCGCTCGGCTGCACAGTCATTTCAATTCCGCAAAAATCCAAATAACTCCAATAAATGTAGACTAAGGCTAAAAAAGCTATGAGGTCATCCGCATAGTCCGTTGAACCCTGGAAAAACACAACTCCAAATTCAAAGCACACCCAGATAAATGTGTGTGTGGGAGTGTGTGCGTGTGCTTGTGTGCATGCTCCCGCCACCGTATTGCATGCACTGGACTACCAACAAGCATATTTACCTGGTCACGGGGGGGTTTAGGATGCCTTGCGCGGGCTCGCTATGATAACCATTATTACCACTTTCCATACTGAAAACAAAACATTGCATACAAACAAAAGCATGAAAGATGTGAGATGAAACATGTGGCATGCTTCTGGTCCTTTTCATCGAGGGCACCATTTTCTTTTCTGTTATTTACAGCGGAGCGCAGTCAAGCTTTTGTAAGGTCGCGATTGCGAGAGCCCTTCAGTGAAAGCTAAGGGACACTTTTCACCCCATAAAACAGCACCAAGAATTTGTAGTCGTAAACAATTCAGCGGTGGAAAGCAGAAATGGGCGTTTCATGGAAAAATTAAAAACACAATAATGTTCGATGGAATGCCCCAGGAAGATACCAGACTTTCCCGGACACTAAGGAAATCATGCCTTCCAACCCGGAGTGTTTTCGTAAAGTGCAGATTGTAAAGAAGAAGAGGAAGATGCCAAAAGCAAAAAGAGACGATGAAGGGTGAGCTGGATGATGGGAAATAGTAGAAATGGTTATCACAAAGTAAAATGCCAAGTCCCGGAAACGGAGGAACTACGAGGAAGGAAGAAATAAAAGCGGGAAGAAAGAGTTAGGGTCAAACAAAAGAAGCTTGAAAACAGTATCTCACTCAAATTTCATTCTCCAACTAATTCTGACTGTTTTCTAACAGTGCTGCGTGATTTAAAGAAAAAATATCTCACTCAAATTTCATTCTCCAACTAATTCTGTTTTCTAACAGTGCTGCGTGATTTAAAGAAAAAAAAAAAAGAATCTAATAAAGCACTCACTCATCGTAAACGTCCTCCGTGTCCATCCTGCGGTAAAACTTGGCCAGCTTGACGGCGAGTACAATGCTTGGGATGAGGAAGAGCGTGCTGCAGCCCAGACCCATCCAGAACACGTTCTGCACCAAAAGCATCCCTTAGGCATTACTATCAGCGAATTGAATTGTACTTTGTCAGATAGATGTAGGAAAGGGAACAATTTCAAATCAAGATTTTTGGGGAGAACAATTGGATGAGATAACAGACCCGCACCCCTACGAAAACGTTTAACATATTACAGTATTTGACAGCAGCATATGAATTTTCAGTCTCAAAATATGTAAAAACAGCCAAATTCAATTGAGGAAACCATTTAATTTTTAGCTTTTATGATATCTGATGTATTGGATACCATCGAGTCCACCAGGAAGCTGCAGGTAAAGATTTCCATCGTGTCCAGCACGTTGCTGAAAGGCTTGCACGGCGCCACCTCCAAGGCCAACTGCATCAAGGTGACGTAAAAATAACAGTGCACTGCATATTAATATAATTGAATAATTATGTTATTACATATTATTAATGTGTCATTACAGTATTATGACTTACAGATGTCTTGACCCACTCTGTGTACTGATGGAAGTAACCCACAATGGTTGATGTATATTTAGCATTTTCCTGAAGGGGAAAACACATTTAAAATGGTCAATTATATTATCGTAATATGAAATAGCATCTATCTGTAATGGGAGTTGTGATGGTACCCGGTCAATAAGATGTGTCGCATTCTGGGAGATGAGATACTGGGCTGCATTGATGGCGTCCAGTATGGCTAAGACCTTGTTCTATGGACAAGAAACATGACATTTAGTTTTCTGTTTGGCTGTTTCTTTGGCTTATTGCAGCACTTTCTCTGTTTGATTTGCTTATGTTGTTTGTTTCATTTTAGTAATTTTATCCTTCAAAGGTTTTGTTCTCATTGGCTTCATAAGACTCACATATGGAGCCGACTGAGTGGCTTTTCTTCAACTAAAGTTCACAAAATTGACTCAAGATCTCTTGTGAGCGGAATTCGTTTGGGTCGCTTGAGTGAACACCGCTATGGTAGCCTCTAGCTAGTTCCCATTCCTGTCAGGCCTTCGGCTATTTATTTATTTTAACAAAGCTCTTTCGGTTGAATCTTTTGTGTTGAGTCTTGCGTATCTATCTGTTGGAAGCAATGAGGTAGGGTATGGCCTGCTATGTTAGTTGATAGCTAGCTCTCGCCTGTTGAGTTGGTCTAACTCTTCACCGGTATCAAGAAATTATTACTGATCAAAGGGCCAAATTATGACAGAGTATATGGTTGACTTACTGGCAGGTCAGAGGAAGTTCTCTCCAGGAACCTCATGCTCTGGTTCAGGGCGCTCTTCAACGGAGACAAATGAAAGAAAATCAAAGTGCAGCACGACTAACCATCAAAGCGAGAGGTATGCCCGGATTATGATGACTCAACAGAAATGATATAATCTCAAAAGTAACCGCAACTGTCACATCACACATGCAAAAGTATTGTGTTCAAAAATGAAAAGACCCTTGAGTTCATCATCCATTTACTAGACCACTTATCCACATTTGGGTAGCTGCTTGTAAGCTCATGAGTTAATGAGGACAAGCGTTATGTATAAAATAGATTCATTTGAAAATAATTTTTCCACAAATAAATGGATGATGTACCTTGTGACTAATTGAGGTGAAGGCCATTAGTTGAGGGAATCAGGTGGTTTTGACACAATAAAATATGTGACCGTCACTTTCAAAGAGAAGGAAAGCAAAATGTCCAACTGTTGATTTTAAGTGGAAGCTTGTTGGCATTTTGGCCACAAAGTCCTTCAATACCACATCTTAAAGCCGTGTTTCCCAACCATTACTGAGCCAAGACACATTTGACAGTTGAAAAATCCCACGGCACACCACCTAACAATCACAAAAAATACAGACAGTACAGTGGTACTTGAACTTATGAGGGACCTGACTTGGCAGATTTTTATTTATTTATTTTTTGATGGCCAGTGAGCAGCACCATGCCCATTGAATTATCATTTTTGACATTCTGTTATTGTAATAGTATACCGTATATAAAAGAGTGCTTTTCTTTAAAATTAACTCATTTAATGCCAGCTGTTTTTCTCAAATTGGGAGAGCCGATGCCAGCCATTTTTGACAATTTTGAGCAATTTTTAAAGGCCTACAGAAAATTGGGTTCAAATGTTTTTTGGGGGGGAATGTAACGGATTAATGACATATGCATTCATTTCAATAGGAAAGGAGGATTTGAGATATCACATTTGTACATCTGAAATTTGGACACATCAATTGAAATTATTGTGGATGGGAATCATTGCTTTGAAGGATAGAGACGCGTGGGTGCGCACACACACACACACACACACACACACACACACACACACACACACACACACAGTGACTGTATCCCTCCAAAACAGTGGTTCTTAACCTGGGTTCGATCGAACCCCAGGGGTTCGGTGAATCGGTCTCAGAGTTTCGACGGAGCCTCTGCCATGGAGGTTAAGACACACCCGATTCAACATGCCAATTAGTTATAACACGCCCGCTTGGCCATCGCTGACTGCAGATGATCACATTACATTGCTTGACCAATCAGTGCTGTGGGAAATTTAGTTCGCTCATTAATCAACGTGTGACTGTCATGATAGTAAGTCACGTGATAAAAAAAAAAAGAAAAAAAAAAAAAGAAAAGAAAAATTTGATACATGCTAACTGTCGAGTAAAAAAAGAAAGTGGTCAGACGAATATGTACAACAATTGAAAACGTGCATCACGGTACGTGATGAGACTCCTATCTGCATGATTTGTCATGCCAATATGAGCAACTCTAGTCTCACACCGGCAAAACTGAGGGAACACTTCTGGAAACTGAATGGAGATGAGATGGGGAATACAGGAAAATAATTTATTTCCTTTTTTCAGTTTTTATGTCTTGAAAATTTTAAAAAATCATATTTTTATTTTTCTTCACTAATGAAGCGTTCGGTGAATGTGCATATTAACTGGTTGGGATCGGTCCCTCTAACAAGGTTAAGAACCACTGCTCTAAAATGAGATACATTTTTTTCAGTTGTGCCATCAGAAAAACAGACACCACTCTCATAACCTGTTTACATCAAGCAGTGCAGTTCAGTATTGCTTGTATTACCTCCGCCAAGCACAAAAGCAGCATTACACAAGAAATACACAAACAAGTGTAAATGTTTCATTGGGTGGGTGGGGCCTGGGGGGGGGGATTTCACTATATCGCAAATATTTACTGTTGCCATATTTGCTACCTGCACCACTTGTTGGAAACACGGCTTCCACATTGCACAAAGTAATGAAATAACAACAACAAAAACACAAGATGGACACACTTGTGTGCGCGCTTACCCTGGCTCTAACATATTTCTTGACGATGAAAGTAGAAAACAAGCAAAAAGAAGTAAATTGCAATAGATGGCTTGTCTTCTTAAGAGAGGCTCACGGCTCATTTGGTACAGAGTGAAATGTCAACAAAACAAAATTAAAAGAGGGGGCGGGGCTGCAAATGCAGGTGGAAAAAGGGTGTGGCGTGAGCTGGAGTGTTACCATGGCTTGCTGCATGGGGACCACCTGCTGGCTGTGGATTTGTCGCACGGTGCCCACGAGACCTTTCAATGACGTTTGCAAGGGACCACGAGGCTGGATCACACACAACCCAAAAAATACCCCCCTTGTTACACACCTAATAATGTTGTAGTTTATAACATAGAACGAGAAATTAACATCCACCTTAAAATGGTTGGTAGGCCTAATGGATGGCACAAGATGGCGGCAAAGCACATTTTCTCTATTAGACAAGACTTTTTAGGAGACATGGCTTTGGCTTGAACGCGAAAACAGCAAATAAGTGAGTTTTATGTGATTAACGAAGAGTGAATTCCCAGAAAAAAAGGGGGAATTTGTGGATGCCAAACTGCGAATAGGCAGGGGTTAACTGTACACTGAAATGTTTTTACCTTCTTTCAATTACTCCCCTTCTAATGTTTTACTTTGATTTACCTATTAATTTTACTCTGCCGTCTGCTGCCAAGTCGACATTGCAAAATCTGTTCTCAACGGCCTCACATCGACAAATAAAGGTTAAATAAATAAAACACAAATATAATGGTGTAAAAATAGATTGGTTCAAAGTAGAAGGCAACGCAAGGCAGCTTTATATTTATTGCACATTTAGGTAACTAGACTTCACACGCATCGGATCGTTTCGGCTGGATCGGATCGGCAGAGATTTCGCAACCTATGCAAAATCGGTGATTAATTGTAATGTCATAATTTGCCAATCAATCAATCAATCAATCAATCAATCAATCAATCAATCAATCAATCAATCACATGATTGATCGGATCCGCAAAATAAGACATAACAGCAAACAGGACCTTGTTTATTCCAGGGGCGTTCTGTGCTGCCATCGTTAACGGTTTCTCATCTCATACAATCTTTTTTTTCAATTATTTTTGGGATCCATCTATCCATTTTTGGTCCATCTTCCAAATCCAACAATTTTCTTGAATAAGGCCGTGGAAGGAAATTACCACCTGAGAGCCACCAAGTCTCAGTCAATCAAGAGCATTGTAACCAAGTATTTGTACTGTGTTACTTCCCACTGCTCTTTACTCGTAGAAAGCGTCGATTTGCAAACATGTTTACTTTACTACAAGCGAAGCCCCACTAGGCCTGGCAGAGACGCTCTGGCGGAGGCGTATTAAACATGAATAATTGAAATAAACAGACGACTGGAGCGTGGTGTTAAATACCATCAGGTCTGTCTGGGCTTCCAGCTCTTTGGCAAACGAAAGCAGGTCCACCACTGTGACGCCTTTGTTGACCTGCGGAAAGAAATCTCATTTATACGCTTTGGTAACATTTCATTTACACGGAATTCACTTTGTGATCCATTTGAGGAACGTGCAAAGTATTTTCATCATTCAGAATAGCTATGAATCTCATTTTGGGTGAGATGCGTCACCTCTTCCAGGTAATCCGCATAGTTTGTTTCCGACAGGCCCGCCTCTGAGAAATCCAGAAGGTTCTGCTCGCCTTCCGCTTCCAGCAAGATGACCCCTCTCAGGTCGATTTTCATGCTGTTCAGCAGGGTCACCAGGTCCTTTGTGAACTGTCAGCAGAGAGAACAAGTCCATCACAAAAAAGTGGAAATATTGTTGATTTACCCAACTGCAGAAAGGGGAGGCAGCTTTTTGGCAACATAGAAATGAATTTGTTGGAAAAACAGGTGGCTGGGCTACGTCACTTTATTAGTACACTCGCAATGAGGTGCAAGTGTGAACACTGTGAATATAAACATTAGGAAAATAAAAATGGGAAGCTGTCGTTTGCCCACCCACATGTACTCAAGGGATAATTTCATGCCGTATCGACTGATTAAGCAGCCACTATCATCATTGAATGATGTTTATAGTTTAATTTCGGTGTTTGGTTGGCTGATTCACATGTGTTTTGGGATTTGACTTATTTATTTGTATTAATTCAATTTTACATGTATGCTTTCCATATATTCACTTCTTGAAATGTTACTTATTTAATATATTGTTGCATTAGTAGTAGTTAACATTTATTTCATTTTTATTTGTTTATTGTTTATTTAAATTTAGCACTGTAAATAATTTATTTCAATAAAAACAAATATGACTCAGATTTTTTTCAGAAGTGTCTGCTATTCATAAATGAATACAAATTATTAACTTTAAATATTCGTCCTTGCATACCTTGAACGCTGTTTAATTTTTAATGCTATTACAAATAACATCATTTTTATTAATCCCATTATCAAATTAAAGTGATGTTGCAAGGCGACGTATCCACGTAAAAAAAAAAAAAAAAAAATTGAAAAAAATCCAGAGTCATACAACAGGATGGCGAATGTGCATGTTGCGTTCACTGACCAGCGTGGCGTTGAGGAAAGACGAGACGTTAAAAACTTTGTCCAAGCGCAGGGCCGAATAGATCCCTTTGTTTTCTTTGCAAGTGCTGCAGGAGACACAGAGGAAATCTTAGTCAAAGCGTTTGCTGCCACCCAGCGAACATGACAGGAAGTGCATCTCTCACACGCACGCACGCACGCACACACGCACACGCACGCGCACGCACGCGCGCGCACGCACACACACACACACACACACACACACACACACACACACATACTTTCTGGACAGGTAGTTTAGATAAACCACAGATGCATGAAGGCTGCACATTGTAAATCTGACTTTAGGTTTACAATGCTATGTCATGTTCACGGCTTTAAATGGACACAATGGAGCTGAACATGTTTGGGAAGCAAGGAATGATGTCAGCTCCACAACAAACAAAAACAAAAAACATCCTCTGGGGTAGGCGGCACAGTGGTCGACTGCGAAGCACGTTGGCCTCAGAGTGCAGATATGTAGGGTTCGATTCCTTCCTGGAGTTTGCATGTTCTCCTCGTGCCCGTGTGGATTTTCTCCGGGTACTCCGGTTTCCTCCCACATTCCAAAAACATGTATCGCAGGTTAAAGGAACACTCTAAAATTTAGAGTCTAAATCATTCCTAGGTGTGACTGTGAGTGCGGGGACAGCCCAAAGAAAATCCTTTAAAAAAATGGAGAATGTGATTATAACCATAGAAGGGAAAGTAGAGGTTAAATGTACAAGCATCAGTAAAGAGTCCAGTTGGAAACACTATATTAAAAAGAATGACTTATCTGCCAAGCAAAAAATTGAGGATCAAGATATTTATGTATTTAACATACTTTAAAAATAAATAAATAACAATAATATTTATAAAAAATAAAAATAATGAAAAATGAAGAAAATAGACATTTTTGACATAATAAAAAGGAGACAACTCCCCCGAAAATGCCCCCCTAAAGGAAACGTGATAATAACCACAGAAGAGGAAGTGAAAGATACTGCCTTATAGTATAAATCAAAACAACATAAAAAATACGACAAAGTGTGACAAAATTGAGCTACTCTGTTATAATTGCACACCATGAGGCCCTTTGAGCCAGTCAGATGTCTTGAAGAAAGTCATTTCTGGAAAAGCCAGATTGAGATGGAATCACAAATTGAGGAAAAATGTGTGGTCACATTGAGTGATTACCAGATAGTCCCACTTCCATCATAAAAACAAGACAATCCAGATTTCCATTATTTCCCATGGGAAAAATGTTTGGAAATATCAATAAATTCTGATTTCAAAGTCAAAACATCAGATTTTCACCTGTATAAACTCTCTGCTGTGAGCTCCAGCTCCGAGTCGTTGTACAAGTACCCCGGGATGAAGTTCCTCCACTCCGAATTGACCAGGTACGGCGCATCCACCACCTGGAGACCAGTCGGAAGCAGTGAGTGGAGTGAATGGCGTCGACCAAACACGCTGATTATTGTCGTGTTGATTGGTCGCTGGATGACTGGCCTTAAAGAGTTCCTTGGTTTGAAAGGGCTCACAGATGAGCTTCTCCATGTTGCCGCCCACCAGGAAGATGGCGGTCAGCAGGCCCATCAGAACCCAAGAGAAGATGAAGCTGAAACCCACGCCACTGGGGACCCAGGGACACATCACAAACAGAATAAGAATAAGAAGAATAAATTTAAAAAAATGTAAAAAAAAAAAATGAACGATTTCACATTATATATCTGTTATACACTTTTGTCTGTCAGGCATCTTGAAAGGGAATGAGCAGTTTTACTTTACTGTCGTTTTATTTCCCAATGGTTACCTTGTCTTTTGCCTTTTTCTTATTTTTAACTTTTTTGTTATAAATGGTGTTAGAAGCTAAGGAACATTTTTTAACAAATTTTTAATTTTTTTTATTTATATGCCCAATAATTGGGCGGCACGGTGGTCGACTGGTTAGCACGTCCACCTCACAGTATAGAGGTCGTGGGTTGGATTCCGGGCTCCGGCCTTCCTGTGTGGAGTTTGCATGTTCTCCTCGTGCCTGTGTGAGTTTTCTCCCAGGACTCCGGTTTCCTCCCACATTCCAAAAACATGCATGGCAGGCTGATTGAACACTCTAAACTGTCCCGAGGTGTGAGTGGGAGCATTGATGGTTGTTCGTCTCTGTGTGCCCTGCGATTGGCTGGCAACCAGTTCAGGTTGTCCCCCGCCTACTCTCCGAAGACGGCTGGGATAGGCTCCAGCACCCCCCGCGACTCTTGTGAGGATAAAGCGGATCAGAAAATGGATGGATGCCAAATAATACAACTTTTTTGTTTTGGGTAGCATCCGTCAGAAGTGGTGTTAGATGGGAAGATCCACATCCAAAATATGGTTTTTGGCTTCTTATTTAGATGTCTAAATGAACATTTTTCTCAGTGCTGGTATCAGAAGTGGGGTTCCATTTTTCTTTTTTTTTCAAGGTGATAATAGGGCATCCGTTTAAAAAATGTGGGTTATGTCTTTGATATATCCAATTAAAGAATGTTTTTTAAAATTTCTTTTTAATTCCAATTTAAAAAAAAAAAAATTTGAAGCGCGGACATAACTCATGATACACTTTGTTTTTCTGTCCAATGAAACAGGTTTTTTTTGGTCAGACAAGAGAGTCCATTTTTAACAACTTCTTTTTTTGAAGTGGTGTCACAAGTGGGGATACATAAAAAAAAAAAAAAAATTCACCAATAAAACATTTTTTGTCAGAAGAGCTGACATAATTTTGAAATACGGCTTCTTGTTAAGTCCATTATATTTTTAGTCAGAACTGGCGTAAGATTCAAATTTTCTTTTTTTCTTTTTTAAAAATAGGTGGTGTCAGAAGTAGGGGTGCACTTTTCTTTCAAATGTGGTGTTTTATGTTTATATCCAATAAAGCAACTTTTGAGTTGGAGGTAGTGTCAGAAGTGGGGCTCCATTGGAAAAGTGACGATTTCTTACGCCATGAGCATGGTGCCTCCTGTGTTGGAGATGCAGCCTCGGGTGGTGGGTGAGGCGTGCTTGTCATATCCCAGCGTGCCGCACAGCAGGCCCAGGTAGTTGAAGGACAGCACCAGCACTAGCATGCAGCACAAAGCTACGCAGCCTGTCCACCTGATGGCACACGCACACACAACACATGCAAATAAATAAAATAAAATAAATCGTGAGATGGAAATAGGATCATTTAAATGCAACACACATGCGTCACCCTCCATTTGTGCTATTTTTAAACTGCAACCAAGTAAACTTCAAAGTGATGTAAATCCAAAACATGGTCCAAGTATATCACAGGTGGGCAACTTGAATGTTAAATGTTGAAGGGGGGGGGGGCACAATTTTTCATCAGTGCTACTGGGGGGCACAGAGGACCACACATTTCCTTACCAGATGTATGACAAATATGGTATTTTAAATATGGACAAAACATGCCTATGTGCAAAATATCTGCTCTTAATATATTTCATTTTTGATACTACATTTTTCAGTGCTTGGATAAAAGATCCACTATGCTCACCCAACAACTAAGGGTTGGAAATAGAGAAACACAATAACCACATACAGTATTTTTTTTCCATTGCAAAAAATTACTCGCGTGAAAATTACCATTCAACAATGGTAAAAAAAAAACAAAAACCTGCTGAACAATAAAGAAATATTAACCTCAATATCTCATTTTGTACATTTTTTAACCAAACATCAACTCAATCAAAATGTTAATATTATTGAGGTCCAACTGATGTCCTGCATATCATTCTGAATCTGCAAAAAAATGATTAAGCCTACTCACATTGTAGCATTGGGTTAAAGACACTTCTGACGAAGCACAACTAAGACATGCCTGCTATCAAGTGGTAATTGGTGATATAACAACTTAAAACTAAAATTGACCCCAGCATATTTGCAGATTGGCACCCATGGACTGCACATTTGCAATTTGTTTTCTTTCTTTTAATTGTTTTTCACATTTTAGATTTTTCCCAGTTTTTACGGAAAACACGAATAAAATAAATAAATAAAATTTAAAAAATTGGGTTAATCTAGGGGCCATTCAGAGTGGCCCATCGCTAGTGTACATTGTTCATGTAGTATATTTTTTTAAACTACAATTTTAATTACTTTTATATTTGAATGAAGCACACTTTAAATTTAGGTGATATTCCACACATTGATGACATTAACAGCAGTGGTCTGACCTGTAGAAGTCCACCTTGTCAATTTCAGGGTACTGGTCCTCGATCTTGGCATGGACGTGGCTGATGAAGAGGGTGAAGTTGGACAAGGAATTGTGTACGGGCAACGATTTGGACAGGTTGCCAATGTTCCCGCCGATGTCGTCCACCAAGCTCTTCACCCCTGAGAAAGTTTCAATGAAAACAAAATACAATTGTTTAGCGGACATCAAAATAAAAATGTATACACCATATTTATGAAGAGATCCCCACTTCAGAACCCAAAGAGTTTCTGTAGTGGATCCCCACTTCTGACACCATCGCTGATAATTTTTTTTATTAAATTGAAAAAGAGATATAAAAATGAGAAGCCATTTTTAAATAAACATTTTCTCCAAAATTTAGTTTGACTTACTGTCAACAACTACTCGGGTCTGTACCATCACCATATAAGGTGTGTCGTTCAAGGACGCATAACCCTAAAAGAGAAAAAAAAAGCAGATATTTACAGTCTCATTGACACGATTTGTTCTTTTTCTGCAAAAAAGTCATTAACAACACCAAAGTCAAATGAACCACACCAAAATGAAGATTCTTCATTCACCTTGTTAACAACGTTGCTGAGGTCTGTTTTCAAGATGTCATTCATCTTCTTCAACGGAGCGTTCACATTGGGAAGCTGACACGATAAAAAAAAAAAAAAAAAACAATAGCCATGCAGTTCAGTAGGGACATTACAATGTATTCAATCAGGAATCCATTGATTGAAAACTCATTTTGACTTATATGTAAATTCTTTTTTTAATGTTTGTGAAACAAACACACACAAAAAAAATAGTTAACCGTGGCTAGAAGTGTGTTATAAAATGATTCACAATGGACAAAACTGTTCCCGGTAATTAAACATGAAATGTAATTAAAGTTTGATTCATTTTAGTTATTTAAACGCAAAACATGCAAGGAATGTTGGGTAAAACTGTGTTACGTACGCAAAAAACACAAAAAACGAATTCGTGCTAGATAAACTTTAAATTATTTAAACAGCCAAAAACAAATTGTTCATTTTCTGTACACAGCAGTTGAAAATTTTAAATCCATGTATTTCTTTAAATGTATTTCTTTAAAATAAACGCGTTGATATTATGAACGTATTTTAAAGCACTGCAAAAAAATAAAAACAATTGTAATTTAAAAAAACACAACCCATTCATGAACCATAAGAAATAATTCACCAAGCATATAACTTAAATAATAAATAACACTCCTAACAATTAAATTTTATTTTTTTTCATGTAAAAACTTAAGAATGTGAAACAATTGTGGGTTAACGTTGTACGTAAATCTGTTTCAAGCTTGTATGTCGGGTACCCGGGTGAAGTTAGCGCTAATATGCAGCTGCTCCAGTGACTGACGGATCCCCCGGCACAGCTGGGCTGAGGTGGCGTCTGACTCCTCGTCGTGGCACCCGGGGTCGTTGAGGGAGCGCTTGATGTTGGCCCGGACCAGGCTGAGGTTCAAGTCCAGCTTGCCTGTGGCCTCCTGCAGCACTTGCAGGGATACACTCACGTTCTCCAGGGCCTCCTTGGTTTCACGCATGGCTGGGAAATGAGAACACCGTGTTAGCATAATCCGCTATCAGAGTTGCAAAATATGTTAAATATATCTACAGCATAGGTGTCAAACTCAGGTCCTGGAGGGCCGCTGTCCTGCATGTTTTCCAAGTCTCCCTGTTGCAACACACCTGATTCAAATGATCAGATCATCAGCAACCTCTGCGGAAGCCTGACATTGAACCTGTTCATTTGAATCAGGTGTGTTGCAACAGGGAGACTTGGAAAACATGCAGGACAGCGGCCCTCCAGGACCTGAGTTTGACACCCCTGATCTACAGGCTGACTATATCTAGCCAGCCAGCTAGCTAGCTACCTTATGCCTTAAGGAAAAGTTCTCCAGCTAAATTGTTGCAGTTTTTCGGCACCGCTTAGCCTCACTAAAATGTCTATTTTCTTTTGGGACTCTAAATACACAGAAATGATCAATTTCAGGGTGGTAAAATTTTGGCAATGTAGTGCTACAGCAAGGCTAGTTAGTAGCTTTCTTGCTAGCATTTTACCTGAATGCCTTACTCAATGTCTGTCTGTCTATCAATCTAATCTTCATACTTCAGCAAGCGAGGCTAGTGAGCTAATCATCCCTCCTGCTCGTGATGTATTTATGAATTTTAACCTTCCGTATTATACAGTATTTTTACATCTTTAAAGTAAAATTAAAATTTTTTTGCTCAGCATTTTTATATGTATTTTATCTATTTTTATTTATACAATGTGGCCGATGTTATTTTACTTAGTTGTTTTTTTCCCTCAATATTGACTTATTCAATATGCTTTTAGGTTTTTCATGTACACTGTGAGATTTTCTCTACAAGTACGTAAATCACAAATCTGCCCAACAACAACTTGGATGTTTGGGCAATCAAGCCCAAATAAGCATGCTATGATTGCTAACATTTTAATAGCTTTTAAATGCAAATATTTGTTCTTGTCGTTGTACACGCAGCAATCAAAAGCTTAGAAGCACCAGGGTACACAACAAACAAGCGAAGGGTAGGTAGATGACAAACTCTCCCCTTGGTAACCATTATGCGACACGATTTGGGCATGCATGAGTCCTCCTGCATCCTTGAATGTACCATACTCAAGATGCAGGGTAAGAGGAAAAAGGGACACTTGTCAGGTTCAGTGTTCACAAAAGTGAATTAAAATTGCACCAAGCAGGAAGCCACAAGCTAAGTTTTTAATGTTTATTGCTTTATCTCCCATTTGGTCAACTGAAACAAACAATTTAAAATGCTAAAAACAACACATTGCACACTTTGACAAAAAGCTGCCCCAATCCCACTGAGAGTCATTCGGGTCTCTAGCCAGGAATTCGAGTTAGCAAGAGGCGAACGTTGGAGTTTACATCCTCATCCAGTCAAACAGCACAAAGTCTCTTTGTTCACAAAAAGCTGGTCAGATAGATTCCTGTCAAGCCAAAAAGGAACGGGAGTAAGCTTGAAGTTAATATTATAGTCTATGCCTTCCCTCAGTACTCTTTCTTGTCAAACAATAAAACCAGATCCATGATGCCAGTCAAAGAAAATCAAAATGGAAGTAGTTTGTTCACAAAAAGCTGCTTAATCCAAGCCATGGCTGTGAAAGAACCGAACATAGCAGTCGACATCTTCACTCAGTCAAATGGCATAAACATATAGAATCAAATGTATAGCAGCAGTAAAAGCAGATCCAAATTAAAGATCTTTTATTCACCAAAAGCTGGTCAATTAGAGTCCTATCAAGCCAAGAGGAATGGACGCTAGCTCAACGCTAACCAATAAGACTACATCACTCAACATTTTCATGTTGTCTAACAGTGCTATCAGATGCATGATACCAGTCACATACTGTATGAAGTCCTTTGTTCACAAAAAGCGGCGGCAGAGGGGCTAACACAGACGGCCCTCTATCGCACGGCATCGGTCACAGGAGAGTTCCAGCAAACATTCATGGGAGCTGGCTTGAAGCAATCTATATCATTGCAAATGAATCTTTTGTTCACAACAACAACACAACTGCAAATATATATGCAGTGTATGTATCAGTATCGCCAAGAGCAGTGTCTGTTTGACCTCATTTTATAAGTACAGTGCAAAGTGCAGTTTTAATGTTCACATGGGTCTGTGAATACTACATGAAGTGACCATGAAAGGGGAGGGAGGGGGGCAAGGGTTTGGAGGTCTTGGGAGGGCTCACCACTGGGGACAAACCAGACTCAAGCTCATGGTTCCAGTCCTTTTACCTTTAATGGCTCTGTCGATTTTTACTTCACAAAAATCCACCAAAAAGGAAGAAAAGCAAAACACAAGAGGCTAAATGATGATATCATCAAAATGGAAACCACAGTGTCATGTCGGTCACTGATTGGTACAGAGAAGGCAATATTTGTTACTAAATTGGAAAATACTCACCAACAATCTTCCATAGTTAATTATTTTTACCCTGATTTTTATTTCTTTTTATATGGGATTGTTTACACAGTTTTTCTTTATTTTTCATTTATTAAACAAAACACCACGTTTTGATTTCATGTTTCTTTCAATTTTTTTTTTTCATATTTATTAATTGGGCGGCCCGGTGGACGACTGGTTCGCACGTCGGCCTCACAGTGCAGAGGTGTAGGGTTCGTTTCTCGCTCCGGGTTTCAGGTGTGGTGTTTGCATGTTCTGTCCGGGCCTGTGTGGGTTTTCTCCGGGTACTCCGGTTTTCTCCCACATTCCAAAAACATGCATTGAACATGCACTCTAAATTGTCCCTCGGTGTGAGTTTGAGCGTGAGTGGTTGTTCATCTGTGTGTGCCCTGCGATTGGCTGGCAATCAGTTTCGGGTGTACTCCGCCTACTGCCCGAAGACAGTTTGGATTGGCTCCAGCACGTTTGCGACCCTTGTGAGGGTAAGCGGTTCGGAAAATGGATTGATAGATGGATATTCATTAATTCACTTGATTTCTGCTATTATTTATTTTTTTTATTGCACACCTCCTTTTTTTGTCTGGATTTTATTTTCATTATTTCACTAGATTATTTTAGGTAATTTATCTTTTAAAAATTATATTCATCAGAATTTTACTTGACACAGTTGGTATTATTTTATTAGATATTTAAAAGATTTCTTGTTATTCTTTGAGATGCTTTCATTATTTTAATTGTGAGCTTTCATTATTTTACTTCTTTTAATGTTATTTGATTTTTATTCATAATTTTGCATCATTTTTTCATACGACAACTTGATAGTTTCAACATTTTGATTTGCAGTCACTGTCTTACCTGTTTTTCTGCCATTTTTGATCAGATTAAAAAAAACAAATTTGACTTGATTCTGTCAACATTTCACTTGCTTTTTAAAGTGCATTTTAAAAATAAATTTGAATCAACCATTTTATTTGATATTGATTATTATGATTATTTTTACTTTATTCTTTTGTGTAATTATTTTAACAGACTTAAAAATTCCATAGACATATTTTTAAGTATTTACATCGCTGATGTTGGCCTGTACCTTTACTTTATATCCCTTCATCATTCATTCACCAACAGAATATGACTTGTTTTGTTTTGCTGCCATCTCGATAGTATCTAAAGGATATGAAACGGGGAGCTAATATGCACCTCCTGTCATTTTCAGCACGGCGTCCAAAGCCGGGTGCACCTCCTTATCCAACGCGTCGCGTATCCTTCCACCTAATAGTGGACCTATGTCTGGGGCGGCAAGATAAAACAAATATTAAAAGATAACACACAGTTCATTGTGTGACTTGTGACTGCCATTTGGAAAAATACAACACACAAGGTTCGCCACAGATTTAATTTTTGGCGGCTCTGGATTATCTTCAGTTTCTACAATCAGATACCACACAAACATATTGGCTGCCTTTATTTTTATGTTCTTAGTCACAGAAACAAGATAATAATAACGACAAAAAAAAATTGCTTCCCAATGTAAAGTAGGCAAGGACCTATACGAATTTGCTAACTTGAGTTAAATTAGTAGCCTCAGTGTTAGGTAACAATTACATAATGTTGTTGTTGTGACTTGTTGGTTTAGGTTTAGATGACAATTAAATTCTTAACTATAAGAAATGAAATCATATTTGGGGATATGGGTCCAGGGTAGGTAAAAGTATTACCGTACATTAAAATCATTCTCGTGTACTGATGAAACGCGCCACTAGGGGGTGGAGGTAGACAAGGAGTGGACTTACTTTCCAGATCGTAGAGGACTTGGTTCTTGGCGGTGGCATACTGGGAGGTGAGGTAATCGATTTGCTGCAAACAGGAAGCACAAAAATAAATAAATAAATAAATGTCAAAATGTGTAAATTGTATGTATTTAAGAGGTACCGAACACTACCATCCCCAAAACCCACTCAACAGCACAAGTTAAGAAAATTCACCCCTTGACACCAGTTCCACTCATCGACACAAACATTGGTTGAATTGTCAGGAAATCAGCCATTTTAGTTTGAAGAAGGCATTTTGAGACAAAAATTCCATGGCTTGTATACTTTGACAAACTGACGATGGAATTTGCCCAAATGAGCCGCAATACGAAGAAGCTATCCTTTTCCTGATTGGCAATGTCATCAAATGTGGGCAGGGGTGAGATCACATTCAATGATCATTTCAGGGATCATTGAAAAGCTTGAAAAATTCAGCCCCCGGAGTGGAATTTTGCATTTCCAGGGCTTGACGTTTGATTAACCCTTAATAAATTCACCCAAACGAGCTCCAATTGGAAGTAGGTACACTCTATAGATGAGCCATGCTAGTTGGCAATGTTTTGTCATGTTTTTTCCCCCAATATAATCTATAGTGGGTGGATGGATATTGGTGTGAAAGATTGCTCAACATGTTGGGGTTTTGCCATGGGAATAAAAAAAAAAAAAAGCTCCAAAAAAATTGGTCCACCAATTGGACACCAGTTTCACTGCAGGACATGAAATTCAGTCAATATTTTTTGCGTAGTAGGAGGCATGACAAAGTCTACAAATTGAACAGGAAGTGCAAGCGGCCATTTTTTACCATTGGAAGCGTAAATAATCAGTCCAAACATCAATTTCACACATTAACATGAAATTGGGTGGGTGTGTTTTAACATGTGGCACACACAAAAGACTCAAGAATACAGAAATTTAATATAACTTGGGCAATTTGGACATCATTTAGAGAAGACATTCGCCATTTCCAGGGCTTGTACTTTCACAACTGAACCCTAATGAGAAGAGACAGTATCTAAGACATTTGGGCGACGCTTAACTGCAAGATTTATTATAATTTTTTTTGATAATCATTTCAAAGATTCACTATGGGAAGTTAAAAAAAAAAAAGTCCTCAACATCAGTTTCAATTATCGAGAAGAATATTGACAGGGCAAATTCCAGGGCTTGATAGATTCTAGTTCAGGAAATGCTCCAAATAAGCCAATATCGAAAGCAATTATCTTAGATAGAAAGGCAACCTTTTTTGGTTATATTGTAGGTGGAGCATGGAGTCAGGCTGTGGCGATCATTTTGAAGAATCGCTATGAAAAGCTGAAAAACGACCAAACTTGTGACCCTACCATTGGCGTGTCGTTGGCAAAGGTGTGCAGATCCCTCATGTTGCTGTTGACCAGACGTCGGATGTTCTTGACCTGAGTGCTGAGGTTCTGGTTGGCGGCGTAAGCACACAATACGCCGATCCTGCCAAAGCGAAGGACGACAACGCACTTCCTGTTAGCTTGGGTTACAATGACGGGCCCCAGTGTATCATCATCTCGATTCGGAGACTGCACATAAAAAATAAGCCTAACATTAGCCTCTTTCAGGCGGCTATCAAGCAAATTTGCTGCATAATAACATTTTACACAGAACCCAGCAAAGCGCAATAACCCCAATTCGCAGTATGTCAACAACCAGGATTTGATATGACATACAAAACCCTTGTTGGACAGTAACAATTAGGTTTCTGCAGAAAGGAAAATGCCAAAAATGTTCAGTCATGTTGTTATTTGGCAACATCTCGATATAAAAGAGGCATAATTTTCTACAGTATGTCGGAATGCAATTATAATTTCATAAAAAAAAATATATAAATTTAAAAAAAGCGCAAAAAGAAGAAATGTACAAAATCTAAACATAAAAAAAAATACATAAAATTAAAATAACATTTAAAATAAATGTTAAACAATTACAAGAATACAATGTAAAAGAAAAAATATTTATTAAAATATAAAACAAAATACAACATAAAAACATTGCGATAATTTTTTTTAAGTTTTATAAATTATAATACAGAATAACAAAATATTAAAACAAACCAAATATCAGATAAAATACAATAAATGGAAAGTGAACGAAATAAAGTAAACATATAAATGTAAAATTGAAAAATATATTGTTCAAATAATAAATAATACAATACTGATAAAATGAAGAATATAGAAAAATGAAATACAACTTCTTCTTCTCCTCTCGGCACGTCCCTATTCAGGGGTCACCACAGCGAGTCAGTAATTTCCATCCGCCCCTGTAAACCGTCCTACCAACTCGCATGGTCGTCTTGGCAAAAGTTTTACGCCGGATGCCATTCCTGACGCAACCCTCCCCATTTCTCCGGGCTTGGGACCGGCACTGGGGAACAGTGCACCCCCAGGGGAGGGCACTGCCCCCCAGCGGCTGGGTTAGAAAAATGAAATACAACAAAACACAAAAATGAATGAACAAAATGAAATCTAAAATAGGCACAAAATCACAAACATGACTGGAAAGCTAAAAAATATGTATAAAGAGAAAAAAAGAACACTTAGCCTACCTCATTATTATTATTTTATTGTTATTTTTTTTACCATACATTTGTTAGACGTTGAGTCAGCATTTTTCATCACCAAAATATGTCCCTCTGGTCAAAAAAAGCATCAAACAGTCTGCATCTCTTACAGCGCTTTCTTCTGAGGCCTCGTCAACATATTCAAATGAACCTCGCAGTCCCGTTGCCCTCATCAGGCAGACCCGAGCGGCTCGTCTCAGGCTTAATTAGCCCGAGCAACATCAAGGCGACGGCAGCCCATAATATTAAGCTGCTTCCATGACTCACCCTCAATCCCGGCAGAATTGTCAGCGCAGCAGCTCACAGCTAGGACCAGATATACAGTATATTCATCTATTACGTGCATGCGTGTGTGTGTGTGTGTGTGTGTGTGTGTGTGTGTGCGTGCGTGCGTGCGTGCGTGCGTGCGTGTGTGTTCATTTTCGAGCGCGCGACTTTTGTAAAGGAGCAACTTTGATCATCCGGAATCTTCATGAATGATGTAAAAGCGAATGCATTTTCCTCTCAGAAGGTGTACACAACATGCAAAGCGAGGGCCGGGCCTTTCTTCTGCCTCTTCAGTCGTGTTGCTAATGCGTGAAGAAGGCGCATTTCATCTTCGCCCACCAAGTGGATGGATTGGGTTCGCCGCCCTGTTGACCCCGTTCTTCTGCACACCCCTGATCACCAGTGATACGTTTTTCACGTATGAACCGAACAATGTCATGTTTGACTGGCCAAAAGGTTTACAAATATTTATTTAATGGCCATTCATTAAATTAACGTAATCAAAAGGAAAAAAATAAATAAAATTGTACTGTATTGTTCCAGTGTTGATGAATGTGCGGTGTCCCTTTCAAATAAACAATAAAAATGAGAACTTACATAAATTATCAATTGATATTTTAAAGATGGTTTCATGGCTATTAAATGACGTGAAATCAATCAAATGAATGACTCTAAATTAATGAAACGGTCAAAAAAAAGTTTTTTTTCTTACAATCAAATGTAATAAATACAAAAAAATTGTCATGAAGTAAATTTAGAAAAACAATCACAACAAAATAAAAATAAATGAAATTGAAATAAAATTGGTACAATACAATTTCTGAGATAATATTTTGGAATTTAATTAATAAATGGACAATTTCATCATTCATTTTCATTAGTAATGACTGGGGTACTTTATACTAGTTAGAAACATACCTCAACTATTTCTCAAACAAACAATCAAATTGTCTAAGAGGAAATAAGAAATTTACAGGTGCACTGATCACAATTTTCTGGCCGATCCCGATCCCAATTTTTTTCAGAACCATCAGCATACACCTTGAATATTCCAATCTTGTTTTATCGTAAAACATTGAACAATATATGTGAAACAATACAAATGGGTGTTTTTTAACTGCACGAGGTAGTTCTCGAAATAAAAATGAAAATACAATAAGTCATCTCACAGCAGAAGAGGACAGTGGCTGATTAGGGAGATTAGATTGGTGGTTTTATTTTAAGGGATCGTTCCATCACGGATGCCCAAAAATTAAGAAACGAGTCTCAAAAAAATTACTCAATGATTCTATTAGAAAACAATACCAAAAAAAAAAAAAAAAGTCAGAAAAGGCATCTTGACCTTGCAGGGTCTCTGTGCGAAAGAGTCGTTGCGGACAACCTTGGCCTTGTGTTGCCCCCACAAGAGGGGGCAACACTCACCTCCACTAATTTAGGAGAGGCAACGTACAGGAACAGACACATGAAAGTCAGCCTGTTTGAAAAAATGAAGAAGAAAAAGGAAGAGGAGGGCATCAATCTAGCATGAATGTAGGCCACTATTGGGGGTTGACACGGTCTGCCAGCACCATAGCTCATAGCGACGCTAACAATGGCCTGCATTCAACGGCCGGGCTCCCCCTCCCTGCTTCCACTAGAATGGAAGTGAACCTCCATCATCATCTCCGCACAACAACACAATAACATGTGCAGCCACACGGACAGTGGAGACCTCTACCAAGGATTATCGCTGGCTCTCACAAAAGGAAGATTACGACAATAAATCAGCCAACTGAGAAGATGCCCTCGCATTGAATGGGCTCGCATTTCACCTTGTAGGAAAAAGAATGGAAGAAGAGTTTCTCATTTAAGGAAACCTACGATAAATATGTTTGTAGGTGATTCAGGAAATAACTTGAAACTCAAGTTTTCCATTCAGAAATTGAGAAACCGATGAACATTGCGACGTTTTATGTCGACCCAACAACAAGGCATGACATTAGTGACACGAAATTAGCACTGACATCGAAGGCACTCCTCGTTAAGGATACCTCTTGTCTGCAATTCACATCAGCGGTGTTCAGAGTTAAAAACCCAAAATGAAAATATTTCAAAAGCCTGATGTGCTAGGAAAAAAGTCGAGACCTTTCAGAAATCACCTCAAAAATAGGTTCTGGGAAACCTAATAAGCCATCCCTGATTAAAATTTGCTGTTGAGCAGTGAAACTGAGGCTACAAATAATGATTTACAAGTAGATTGCCAAATGAAGATGGAGGTAATTTCAAACAAAAACTGGCACTACATAAAATGATTGACATGTCGACATAACTTATGGGTGGCCTGTGAAGTACAAGGCTAAGGGAAGCATACTTGGTTTGACCCGAGGTACCTTAAACTAGTTTTCTTCTTTTAAGACAAGAGCAGTCAGTTGCTTTGAATCCCCGAGAAAAAAATAGAAAAGTAATCCCCGAAGAAAAGGATTGCTGGAGTCAGAGATGGAAGAGAGCGCACAAGTCAAAGCAGCTTTTTTGTTCCCGGGCTTCTCTTAATCGCAGACTCAAGAAATAAAAAGGATCAATCGACAGTATTTTCTAAAGGGGAGCTATTTATATACACAGAAATCCTCCCGACCAAAAGAAATGAACGATCATCGCTTAGCCACCACACGACTGGATGGAGCCATAAGCATTCACTTTCAGACTTTTAGGAAACGTAATTTAATGTTTTTTTTAATGTATGGAATTTTATTTGTGTCTGCAACTATGGATTTGTTATATAGGCGGCTCGGTGGCCGACTGGTTAGCACGTCGGCTTCACAGGACAGAGGTGTAGGGTTCGATTCCGGCTGCGACCTTCCTGTGTGGATTTTGCTTGTTCTCGCCGTGGCTGCGTGGGTTTTCTCCGGGTACTCCGGTTTCCTCCCACATTCCAAAAAACATGCATGGCAGGCTGATTGAACACTCTAAATTGTCCCTAGGTGTGAGTGTGGGCGCCGATTGTTGTTCGTCTGTGTGTGCCCTGCGATTGGCTGGCAACCGGTTGAGGGTGTCCCCCGCCTAAAGCGGATCAGAAAATGGATGGATGGATGGATGACAAGGAAGCAGTGACAGCTCACGCCGTCATTGAAAAGCACAAAGAGGAAACTCTAGATGCTTTTTGGTTAATGGCTGAGCCTTGGTGGAGGTCTGTGCTCTGTTGTTCCACAGTCATCTCTCATTCTTTTATCATTTTTCTCTCTGCGACTATTTTCTGCCTACGCCTGGCCCCCCTCGCGGGCGTCGTTTAGTGGATTTCACAGCCTCCTGTTAGTCAATTTATCGTGCCATGAGTCACTGGAAGATGTTTGTCCGTATGCACGCTCAGATGACCATTCCTCTGCCATGCTAACATCTCATTTGCGTTATTAATGGCTAATTGTGTGAATGCCGAAGAGGACCGACTTTTTTTGCTTTTTCTACCCATCTTTTCTCCTTTCACATTTCTTAATCAATTCGATTTCCAAAAACATAACGGTTGTACATCCATGTTTTTACGTTTACATGTACCTCCTCCTTCCATGTTTCTTAAGTGATTCAAAACATTCCAACTTGAAACTGTTCAGCTCATTCAATACACTATGGGGGCGACTTTTCATCTTTCCCAAATTCCCACATTTTCATTTTTTTATAAATACAATTCATATACCTCTATCATTTAATGCATGCTTTTTCTTTCAATCTCACATTCAAGATTTGTTTTTTAAATTTTTAATGTGTATTCTCCAGTATTTCAGTAATTTTCTAATTTATATTCATGAAAGAGGAATGTTCCCTCCCTAGGTGATATTAGAATAATAATCATAGGAGCAATGTTGCCGTTTGGCGTTCATCTTGGATTAATACGGGGTCCAAATGAGGCATTTAATGGAGTTGAGGGTGGGCGGGTGGCATCGACATTATCATTAATTAGACCCCCGTAGGATTGGTGCGGCGGGGGGGTTTGCCTAGCTCGTCATGTTGCGATCTTTTGCGCTAATGGTGTTAGACAGCCTGCGACTAAAATAGAGCGTGAAAATGCATGCTGGGTAACGACATGAGACAAGTTGTCTTTCGACGCACTTGCAAGAATAACAATAACGTTGATTTCATTATGGTTCATTTGTTTGAATTTCTTAAGACACAAGAGGCAAATTAGCATGCAGAAATTGGGTTGTGCGTGAACATTACATTGAGTTCATGCTCAAATGTTGAGATTTTTGGAAAGGTTTAGCACCAGGGAATGCAGATCCATATTTGTCTATGTGCACATATGGACATTCTGAAATGGATTCGTACCAGAAAATGCATATCCATTCCATTTCCTGTATTCATGGTGCTAAACCATTCCAAAATGGGCACACAAACACTTATGGATGCATATTTTCTGGTGCAAAACCACTCCGAAATGTCCACCCTAGTGCATTTGTTGGTGTAAATCCATTCCAAATGTCTATCATCATTGAAAACAACAACAACAAAAATAACATGCTGATATGTAGTTTTTGGTGCGAAATGATTCCAAAATGTGCCCACTCACACACCAACTGATTTGGATTTCACAGTGGTAAGCCATTCCAAAATGTCCATCCTCATCGAATAAACTGGTCCGAACCAATTCCAAAATATGTACACAAACACAATCAAGGAGAGTTGCAAGTAATGGGGTACCTTGACTTACAAGTTTAATTTGGTCCGTAACCAAGCTTGGAACGCAATTTACACAGGTTATTCATTCCAGCTCCTTCATAACAACATAATTTTTTGGTGCATTTTTAGGAAAGAAAAATGGCATTGTATTGTATAAAAGTATAATATAACAAAATGAATGAATGTAAATAGTAAACTGGTCTTGTAAAGTGTAATTACTGTATGTACTGTAGTATATGTGTGCTGGGAGTGTGTCTTTAAGGGGCGTGGCTGAGTGGATGATGTCAGAAGATGGAGTCACTGTACTTGAGTGTATCACACACTTGCTTGCAACTTGCATTTTGGCTCACACAAACAAAAATAAATACCAAGCGACAGCTAGTAGCTTGAAAAAGTTCCACATCCATACACACTGGTAGCTTTTCTGATGCATTTGTTCATCCATCCATCCATTTTCTGAACCGCTTATCGTCACAAGTGTCGCGGGGCGTGCTGGAGCCAACCCCAGCTGTCTTCGGGCTGTAGGCAGGGGACACCCTAAACTGGTTGCCAGCCAATCGCAGGGCACACAGAGACGAAAACCATCCACGCTCACACCCACACCTAGGGACAATTTAGAGCAGGGGTATGGAACTCCGGTTCCTTGAGAGTCATATCCTGCCTGATTTAGATCCCTCCCTACTCCAAACACACCTGATTCAATTGTTATGATTGTTTCAGGCCTCTACAGAGCTTGCCGATGAGCTGATCATTTGATTCAGGCGTGTTGGAGTAGGGAGGGATCTAAAACAGGCAGGAAATGGCTCTCCAGGAACCTGAGTCCCCTTCCCCTGATTTAGAGCGTTCCATTAACCTGCCACGAATGTTTTTGGAGTGTAGGAGGAAACTGGAGTACCCGGAGAAAACCCACGCAGGCACGGGTAGAACATGCAAACTTCATCGGAATCGGACCCTGCACCCCTGCACTGTGAGGCTGACACGCTAACCAGTCAACCACCAGGCCTGATGCGTTTGGGTCAGTGGGAAAAGAAAGCATTGCCATGGCGATGTGGCAGGGGTGTATTTACTTTGACAAGAGCTGACTTTCCTCCATGATTTGAATGAGTCTGACTTATTGGAAATTCCAAAGCACAAGGAGCAGGCACCAGGGAGCGTCGTTACTTATTAAAATCTCCCCAGCGACCAGAGCAGACGCTGGAGTGAAATGAGGACCAAAACCAGCCTAATGGCACTTTTTGAAATCATCCCCACTTGACTTTTACAAAATTTATGTTTTCTCTCCAGGAACACTTTGAATCAAGTTAGATCCAGATAGAACCAGAAACACCCAGAGATTGATGGAAGAGTTTGTAAATGTAGAAGTGTATGGTGGTAGATAACATCAGAAAATGCATATCCATTAATTAATTATTAGTTTAGTTAATTAGTTAATCTACACATATGGACATTTTGGAATGCTTTAGCACAAGAAATGTGTATACAGCAGTGGCTTGTGATACAGGTTAAATTTCTGGAGGTACGAGCCAATTTTTTTTTTTTTTTTTTTTTTGCTTTGACGTGAGGAAAAATTTCAGATGTGAGAGCTGTATGAAAGCAGTGAACTCAAACCAACTCACTTGACAACAAGCAGAAGTTTGGCAAATGGATAATTATTCAGAAAGGAGCCTTCAAGCTGTTTATTGCCAGTTATTCCAAGTTCAACTTTACTGTCAAACTAAACATCAAACACAGTGAGTTAAGTATCAATGCAAAACAACGATATAACCGCCTTGAACTCTAAGTTTAGTCTAAATATTCGACCACAAATAGTCGAGCAACACATAATTGAACAATACACACAGGAATGTATTATTTATCCTCTAAACGAAAAAGTAATATTACTGCAGCTAACTGTGGTGCTGAAGACCGTCAGTAGATATGTATAGTTGACCCCTGCTGTTCACGGTGGATAAGGACTGTGCTGGTACACAAATGGCAAAAATCTGCATACAATTTATACCCATTAAAATGCATTAGGAAAGAATAAAATATAACTAAATTCTAAAAAAAAAATGCTGATGTACATTCAATATATGTTATCCATGGAAAAACATGGGAATTAAGAACAAAACTGAACAAAACAAACAAAAAACTCACCAAAATATATATCTTTTGATTGAAGTTTTTTTAATTTAAAAAAAAATGCTAATATGCAAAAACGGTGAAAAGACACCAAAAAAAAAAACACCCCAAAATACAAAAAAATATTTTGAAATATTGAGAAAAAAATCCACTAATATGCGAATCTCTGTGAACCAAATGTCTGTATGTCGGTATCATACTGCCTCTATGTGGCGAAGCACACACACCAGAAGGAGCAGCACAATTTCCACTGAATTAAAGAAAAAAAGGTGGCAAAAACTATTGAATTTCTTTACGTTCCACTGAATTATGTAATCATGTATTTTTTATACAGTACTGTGATGTTAAGCGCTATTTTTCTCATCAAAAATAACACTTTTTTTTTTTTGTATCTGGAGACTGGAACAAATCAATGGCATTGGCATTCATTTCAATGGGGAAGGATGATGTGAGGTACTGAAGTAAACTAAATAATTTCCAAACGTGTTAACATACTACAGATGGGTGGCCATTTTGGAAAAGTTTAAAACCAGAAAATGCATGACCACATACCTGTAAGTTCATTCACAAATGTGGACGTTTTTTACCATGTTTTAGCACCAAACAATGCAGAAACATGAACTTTTGTGGCTACCTTGTCATGGTTTAGTGCTCCAAACCATAGTTATCCATAAAAACATGCCATGTCTGTGTGTCAAAAATGTACTTTTATGAGTTAGTTTGTTTCCTGTGTACGATTTTTACATGTCAGACTCACGTGACGACTAGCGAGGTGGAGAAGAGCAGCGTTCCCAGCAGGCCTCGTCGACAGTCTGCGTTCTTCCTCTGCCGCTGGTGCATCTCTCCACCGCAGTTGTCACAGCAGCGGCACAGACAGAAGAAGAGGCCCACCACGGGCAACAGGATCGTGAACAGGACACCCACTGCCGCGCACACCAGGAAGCCCATCTCGTAGTAGACCGCCTGGGAGACGGAGGGAGGGATGGCAGTCAGGGAATGTGTACAAAAAGAGTGGTTTAACACCCAAAAATATGTAGCCGTTGACATTGAGGATTATTTTTTGGAATAGGTTCGCACTTATTGCTGCACTTGCAAATATGAATGTTTTGTATTCCTTTAGCACCAAACAACATAGCCATACAATGAATGTGTGTGCAAATATGGATATTTTGGAACTGTTTCTCACAAGATGTTCACAGTATATCCATGTGTGTTTATATAAGTGTAGACATACTGAAATGGTTTAGCAGCACAAAATGCATATTCATTTGTCTATGTGTAGAAATTGATATGTTAGAACGATTTGCCAATATAAATGCAAATCCAAATGTGTTTGAATTCAAGGATAGGCATTCTATAATGGGGAGACACTCTGGAATGCTTTATTATGCATATTCAAAGATAGAAAATTTTGATTGGTTTATTACTAGAGAAAGATAAATAAATAAATGTTTGAGGAAATATGGATATTTTTGAATGTTTTAACCCCACCCCATCATAATTCAGTGGAATGTCTATGTGCAAAAATAAACATTTTAGAACATCCACAAGCACATGATAAATCCAAATCCAAATAAATCGAAATACAAATGTAGACATTTTGGAATGGTCCATAATGCATTTGTACATGATTAAGTACGAGAAAATATATACTGATATATCAGTGCACTGAATTTGAACTGTTTTAAAAAGAAATGTTGTATGTGCAAACCTGGACAATTTGGAATGGTCGAGCACAATAAAATGCAAATCCAAATGCATACATATACAAATGTACACATTCTGCAAACGTTGATGATCAGAAATGCTGTCTTTATGTGTAAATGTGGACATTTTCGAAGGGTCGTGAATTTGAAAAAAAATAAAAATTATATATATATATATATATATATATATATACACACACACACACACACACACACACACACACACAGTATATATGGACAGTTTTTTAAATGGTTTATCACCATGAAATGCAAATTCAAATGTGTTTATATACAAGTGGAAGTGTAGACATTCTGAAAAGGTTTAGCATCAGAACATGAATATCCAGTTGTATTTGTGTGCAAATGATGACCAAAAAGAGGGGCAGCGTACTTTGGGGATTGAGGAAAAGTATGAGCGCACCAGAGAATGTGTTGATAAATGGATCTCACGGCCCGTCTCGATTGCGTGTCCAAATAGGATTTGTGTAAACAACACTGGGTCAAGATTTTGCTGAAACTGTATGAACATTTTAATAATGAACCATTCTGTGATGTTATTCAGTATGATCAATGCCATGGAAAGCACATTATTGTTGGCACACGACTCGCAGATCAATGCGTGTATCCCTGTGCTGCTGCCGCATCACTAACGAAGGCGGAAAGACAGAATTTTTGATGAGAGGATGGACTTCCAGCTGAGCAGCCACAGAGAAAGTTGGACTTAAAGCAGTATCCAATGCTTGAAAATAAGAAAAATAAATAAAATAACCCCCCCCCCCAAATTCCAGTTTCATGGAATGTATTATATTCAAAATCATCAGACAAAATCAGTGATCCCACTCACCCCACTGTCTTATCTTGTGATAATAACAATTTTGTGCGTTTTTATTTTTTTCCCCTCCATGGCTTAGAGCTCATACTATTTTTGGACGATTACTTTGTTTTGGCGAAAGCCCGAAGGAAGAATGTGACCTTCCGCAAAGATGAGGTGGCGGCGTGTCGCTGTAGTTAAGATGTTAAAAAATCACCAAAATAGCCGCCGGAGCGTCTTGAGGCGGGAGGAAGGTTGCAGCCTTGTGCTTGGAGAGAACTCATGCTAAAAACTATGCCAGTTTCTTCCATTCTGGAACCATAACAAATCATTTCAAAATATGTTTATCGCCACAAAATGCATATTAATACAGTACGTGTTCATGCGCAAACCTGGACATTTCTGCGGTGGTTTAGCACCAGAAAAATGCATGTCTAGATATTACATATGTACATTTCTGAATGATTTTGAGCATCCAGAAATGGCCATGTGCAAAGATGAACATTTCAGTATGTTTATGAACCGAAATACAGATGCATAAGGACAATGGATTTGTGTGCAAGTGTGGACATTTTTGAATGGTTTGCCACCAGGAATTCATGTCCACAAATGTTTACGTGCAAGGGTAGACATTTGGGATGCTTTAGAACAAGAAAAAGGCACAAATATGGATATTTTTTGAATGGTTTAATCCCAGAAAACGCAAGCTCATTGTCCCCCCAGCTCGGTGCCTGTACATTGGGGTTCACACCGGTGGATGAGATGGGAGCCTCCCTCCGCCTTTGGGTGGGGGGACGGGTCACGACTGTTGTTTGTGCCAATGCACCAAACGGCAGTTCAGAGTACCCACCCTTTTTAGGAGTGCTTGGAGGGTGTTTCTGGAGAGTGCTCCCTCTGGGGACTGCCTTGTCCTGATGGGGGACTTCAAAGCTCACATGGGGAATGACAGTGAGACCTGGAAGGGTGTGATAGGGAGGAACGGCCCCCCCAATCAGAACTCGAGTGGTGTTTTGTTTTTGAACTGCTGTGTTCATCACGGATTGTCCATAACAAACACCATGTTCAAACATAAGGGTGTCCATATGTGAACTTGGCACCAGGACACCCTTGGCCGCAGTTCGATGACTGGCTTTGTGGTTGTATCATTGGATTTGCGGCCACAAGTTTTGGACACTCAGGTGAAGAGAGGGGCGGAGCTGTCCACTGATCATCACCTGATGGTAAGTTGGCTCCGATTTTGGAGGAAGATGCCGATCTGACATGGCAGACCCAAACGTATCGTGAGGGTTTGTTGGGAGTGTCTGGCAGAATACCCTGTCAGAAGGGGTTTCAACTTCCTGCAGAGCTTTTCCCACATCCCAGAGGAGGCGGGGGACATTGAGTCCCTGGAGACCATGTTTCGCGTATATATTGTTGAGGGGGCCGATTGGAGTTTGGGAAAAGTTCGATGAGGTCACGGAAGCCGACTTCCGGTCCACCATCTAACGTCTCAGGAGGTGGAAGCAGTGCGCCATTAACACTGTGTATAGTTGGGATGGGGCTCTGCAGACCTCAACTTGGGACATTGTCAGATGGTGGGCAGAAAACCTTTTAGACCTCCTAACTCCACCAACACACCTTCCTTAGAAGAAGTAGAGTTGGGCTCTCCTATCTCTGGGGTTGAAGTTACTGAGGTGGTTAAAAAGCTCCTCAGTGACAAAGCCTTGGGGGTGTATGAGATCCGCCCTGAGTTCCTCAAGGCTCAGGATGTTGTGGGGCTGTCCTGGTTTACACAGCTCTGCAACATCGCGGGATCATCCGGGAGAGTGCCTCTGGATTGTCAGACCGGGGAGGTGGTCCCCTTTTGGGTGTGTTTCGTTTACCTCAGCCTCCCTGGTAAGGTCTATTCAGGGGTGCTGGAGAGGAAGGTCCGTCGGGCAGTCGAGCACTATGGTTTTCGTCCCAGCCGTGAAACAGTGAACCAGCTCGACACCCTTGGCAGGGTACTCGGGGGAGCATCGGAGTTCGCCCAACCAGTCTACATGTGCTTTGTGGACTGTGTCCCTCAGGGAGTTCTGTGGGACGTGCTTTGGAAAGTATGGAGTGGGAGATCGACAGGCGGATCGGTGCAGCATCGGCTGTGATGCGAACTTTGTATTGGTCTGTCCTACCCTCACGTATGGTCACAAGCTATGGGTCGTGACCAAAGGAACGAGATCTCGGATACAAGCAGCCTATAAGTTTCCTCCGCAGGGTGTCAGGGCTTTCCCTAAGAGAAAAGGTGAGAATCTTGGTCATCCGGGAGGGGTTCAGAGTCAAGCCGCTTCTCCTCCACGTCGAGAGGAGCCAGATGAGGTGGTGCGGGCCTCTGATTAGGATACCTCCTGGACACCTCCCTGGTGAGGTGTTCCAGGCATGTCCTACGGGCTCCTGGGAGGATCTGGAAGAAGTGGCTGGGGAGACGGAAGTCTGGGCTTCCCTGCCAAAGCTGTTACCCCCGCAACCAGGATTGATGGATGGATGGATAGGTCCAGAAAATGCATACAACTATGTTTTTATGAACACAATTGGCATTTCTGGAACGGTTTTGCACCAGAAATCCATATCTACAAATATTTACGCACAAAGGTGGGGATTTTGCTTGTCTACAAATATGGACATTTTGGAATGCTTTAGAACCATCCATATATCTCTGTGTACACAGGTGAACATTTTCAGATGATTTAGCACAAATGTCAAACTGAAATTCCATAGCACACACTACATTGTCATACCGCTTGTACGACAATTAAAAATGCCCAAAACAGGAAAGGCATAAGATGTACTGTAAATCATCTTTGTGTTATACGTACGGTACATTAGTCATAAAAATTAAGAGTAACTAATTTTTACACATAGCAGGACAGTAACTTCAAACATTGCTTGTGCTTGTGTGAAAAATTTGAGATTCCATCATATTTAAGTAAAGGAATATATCACTCCCAATGGGATTCCTCACAAGGTCTTAAACAGGTCAAACATGTTTGCTAAAAGGGAAGCAAAGCAAAACTGCATTTTATGGATCGCGATGTAAATGAAAAAGGGAGTGCTTGTCATATGAGGAGTGGTGAAGTTTCTTATGAACTTTTACACTTTACCTGCAGGCTCAGTACAATGTTCTCTGGCTGAAGGAGGAGATATCAGATGGTTTCACATGAAGAAGAAGAGGAAGAAGAAGATGCATGCAGAAGACAAAGCATTAAAACACAAGCGTCAAAGAAAGAGCAGGAGCAAACACAAACAATACCAACTGAAGAGGAAATTATAAAAATGAGAAATGTGGCATGCGCACAGATAAACAGACTTCTGGGGGTATATTTCATTTCCCATGAGGAAAATGTGATTTCTGAAGTGTTTGAGGCTTTGAAACTCATCCACTCACCTTCTGATATTCGGTCTGAAGGGCTCCAAACTTGTCCTTGGCCAGTCTGATCAGAAGATCTGCAAGACATTGCGAAAAGAGTTTGGTCGTGGTTAAGCATACAGAGGCTGCTGCTCGTTTCAAAATGTCAACCTATGTACAAAGTATATAACACATTTTCTGGTGCTAAATCATGCCAAAATGTTCACATTTTCACATTAACAAATACGAATATGCATTTTCCAGTGGTGAATCATTCTGAAATATCCAAATTTGCAGATAAACACACATCAATATGCATTTTCCAGAGTTAAAACATTCCAAAATGTTAAAATTTGCACATAAGGATTTGTAAAACATATTTTCAAGTGCTATACCATCCAAAAATCAATACATTTTCACACAAGCACACATTGATAAGCATTTTATGGCGCTAAACTCTTCCAAACGAACCAATCAATTCTTTAAGTACTTATAAATACAATTTTTTTTGTACTCCTTTGTTGAACATGTACTTCTGATGCGAAACTATTCCATAATATCCCTCCTTTTAAACTACATTAACATACATAAACATACATTTCTGAGGCTAAACTATTTTAAAATACCCACATTGTGCATTTTCTGGGGCTAGACGGGTCCCAAATTCTCAGTCTTTTCTGTTAAGATACATGGTAATGCATTTCCTGGTGCGAAACCATTCAGAAACATCCCACTCTGTATATAAATATACCAGTACCAGTCAAAAGTTTGGAAACACCTTCAAATTCAAATGGTCTCAAACACATTCAAAGGTCAAGAAATTCAAGCTACTAACTCTTGATAATGCACAGCTGTGAACTGAAAGTCATTTCAGGTCATGAAGCATCAGCCACATCATAAAAATACCAAGATGTCCCTACTTTGAAGAATCTAAATTATAAAACGTAATTAATAAATAAATAAACCAACAAACAAACAAACAAACAAATAAAGCATGCCTTCTGTTTTTTTGGTTGCTATATATATTTTAATGATGCAGAAAATAAAATGTTTTATCACCTAATGCATTTCATTGGGCATCAATAACATGCTGATTTTCAATGTTCGGGGTTCCGAACTGGTCCCGATTCCGCACGACTCGTGGGAGTCAACTCAGAATATATTGCTAATAATATATATTTTTTTAAATCCAAAAAATGTGCTGCAATACATATTGTACATAATGAAATTATAAGGACATACACATATCTGCATTTTACAATGCTAAATAATTTCAATGTGTTTCTCCTTGTCTTTTCACATGGATGTTTAAGAGGGAGGAAATTTCATCTATGCTGTATGTGTAACATACAGCATATTTGACAAAAAAGTTATACTTGATACTTGGTAAGGGTTTCATTGTGCTAAACTATTCCAAAATAATTCCATGTGTGTCCATATTTGGACATGGAACATTCGTCATATGTATTTCCTGGTGTGAAATGATTTCAGAATATGTGGCGGGAAAAATGTCCATGACACACATGGGAACATGCATGCGCAATGCAGACATGTCATACAATTACACAAGATACAAAAATTCCTTACCAGTTAAAATTGATAACTGCAACCTTACCAAACAGAAATAAACAGATAGACTAAGAAATAAGCCACAGAATTAAAAAAAATAAAATAAAAAAAGTCCAAGGCACATAGAAGCATACATGTATTGTGAGAGCAGAGAAGTGACATTGACGGGACTTTGTCAGCCAAAATCTGCTACAACCCCCCAAACGAGAAATTTCCCCCTTGGGTTAAAACTGACAAGGTCAAAAGTTTTGATGAATTCCCTTTGATCATCCTGTTGACATACTGCTTGCTTCAGCAAATCTTCCCCAAAAACTATTTCTGGGATTCAACTCAAACTAATTCTTTTGAAACATGACAGACCTCCGAGCTGCACTGCAACTCTAGAAACTGGTTATTTCTATTCGTTCTGTTTTTTTTTCTATTGTGCAGGTGGCAGTTATCTTGATTAACTAGTGAGCGGAGCGATCTCACAAATGGTAAATGTCCCCCCCCCCACCCCCCAAAACAAAAGCAGTAAAAGGGAAAGTTTGTCATCTGGTGACAGTGAACATCTGATGATTCTCTCAGCAAGCAAAGTTTGGGAAAGGGCAGTGTGTCCTACTATATGTGGCCGTTTTTGTGTGACTTTGAATGGCTTTTGTAGGCATCTATTGTGGGTTTGGGGCCAGGTGTAAAATGATCGGGGCTTTAGGAAGGAACGCGAAAAAGGGAAAACTGCATAAAGATCTTTGAGCCTTTTGTGTGGTGGCGGGTTTCCCCTCCCCACAAAGACAAAACAATGTCTGTGTTACGTAAAATCAATCAAAAAGGCAAGGCAAGGTAAGGCAGTTTTATTTACAGCATTAAGCACATTTCATCCACAAGATAACTCAATGTGCTTCACACAAGCAAAGACACAACACCTGAAGGTATTTACAAACACAAACGCTAACGACATTCCGAATCTAAAGAACACAAAAGCCTTGTAACTTTAAATAATAATAATAATAATAATAATTACAATAACCATAATAATATTTCATATACTATAGTTGGTATTATTCTTATTAATAATAATTATATTTAAAATACCATGTTACTAATAGCATTAGATATATGAATGAATGAATGAAGTCATTTCAAACATATATAAAGTAAATATTTCGATTCACGTTAAAAATTCATATTAATACTGGTACCATTCATCATCAACATCATCATCATCACTCGTAGCAGTAGTAGTCATAGTAACAGTAGCAGTAATAGTACAGTGAAACTCCTCTACAACGAAATCATGTTTGCAGCAAGAAATGTTTCACAACAGGGGACTTTCCACTAGCAAATTTATCTCAGATGTAAACACACACACAC